GTAAAAAATCACTTAATATATCTATGTATTTTGTAAAGGATAACTTTAAAAACTATTAATCTACTTACCGGTTTTTACAAACATCTTGAAATGTCACCCACCATATATTAGTATCAACTAAATGAGTACAGGTATTGTCTTCATGACATTGTGCAAATTCAAAGGTAGTCCTAAAAAAAAGCTTGATATAATCTTATTAACTGTAAATAAATAAATAAAAATAAATATTCTTATTTGATATTATACTCTGATTCTGAATAAATCAAATCCTCAAGAAATTTTTTGAATTCTGTCAAATTAACATTTGGGGAAACGCGGATATCAAAACCAGCCTTTGCTTCTAATGGAATGACATTATGTTGAACCCCAGCCTAAATTGAACACTTATATGGATTATATATTTTTAAGAAAAAAAAACACTTTAAATAATCAATTGAAAATTTACTTCTAATAATGTAAGATTAACACTTGTAACATCACCAAGAGTGTATTTTCTTCCATCCGCATGTACACTAAATCTTAGTTGTTGTTCCTGAGAGTCCCGAAATTGCATAAATTTATTAATGATTCGATGCTAATGTATATTTTTATTTTTTATTCAAAAAAAAAAAGAATGAGATGAATATCATATATAATAGCAAAGAATATGTATATATATTAGAAAGTAAACAATAATCTTATTTTCTATTAACATTGATGAATCTCTTAAACAACAAGAATTAAAAAAACTTTTGAACAAACCAATTTATAAGTTGCAGTATTTTCAATGAATTGTGATCCATGCCCTGTGTTACCTCTACTAGTTACAGTTATCCACCAAGGTGCTCGTTCACCAAAAAATAATCTTAAATTATTATTTGGAGAAGAAATTCCTTCATCTAGCGCAAACCCAACATTCAGACTTTTAAAATCGTCAGAATTCACAAATTTATACATACCATCCACACCACCAATTTCTTCATCTAAATAACAAAAAACATTATTATTATGAAATAAATGTAGAAAATTTTTTTATTCTTAAATACCTGGAACAAATGATAAGTGAATTGTTCTGATAGGTTGTTTTGATTGATTTTTAAAACATCTCATTGCCTCTAGATAACTAGCACCTACACATTTCATATCTTGTGCGCCTCTTTCTATTATATCACCATTTTTCAATTTACAAGCTTCAAATGGATCACAACTCCATTTATCCTATTCATTATAATTGAAGGCATTAGTTTTTATTCATTAAATTAACTTTTTTAAAAAAGATTAATAAAAAAATT